CGTGACGTCCTGAGACGCAAAGATACGGCGCGAGGTGGGGTGGTAGAACTGCCAACCAGGCGCGTCAGGGACAAAGCCAAGGAAGACGCAGGGAACAGCGCGGGCGGAGAGCTTGTCCGCGGTAGTATCGCGAACAAAGGCACGGGCACCCCAGACCCGGAAACACGACGCATCGCCAACCTTCCCCGTCCACAGCAGTGTGGGCGAGGTCTCCGGCAAGGAGACACGGGGCCAGAGGTTGAGCTGATGCGCGGCGTACCGGACCGCAAACGGCCACAAAAAATGGGGGGCAGCCGCATGGATCATGGAGGTACAAGCGACCTCCATGACTAAGCCAATGCGGCTCTCAGCAACCCCATTCTGCTGCGGAGAGGCTGGAAGCGTGAACGTCTGGCGGATGCCGCGCTCCGCACAGTAGGCTGCCAAGAGGTCGGAGGAGAACTCACCACCTCTGTCAGAGTGCAGACGCAGGACAGGAAAGTCCGACCGGAACCGCTCGCGGAGCTGGAGACGAACAGTGCGGATCCAAGGGATCAAAACATCAGGGACGTCCCCCTTGCTCTGCAAGGGGAAGACCGTGGTGTAGCGCGTGTAGTCGTCGACGACCAGCAGGAAGTACCGCTCGTGGCCCTGTCCACGGACGTGGGCTGGGCCCCACACGTCCAGGTGGAGAGTCTGCAGGGGAGCCTCTGTGGGAGGGAACGAGGAGGAGTGAGGAGCGGCGCGCTGCCGCCCCTCGACGCAAGGAATGCAGGGCGGCGCAGGCGAGGGAGGGAGGGGAGGCAGAGACCTGGGAAGACCAGAAGCCAGGGAGCAAGAGTGCATGCCACGAAGGCGAGGCAAGGAGGGGTGACCAAGGCGGTGGTGCCACAGGAGGGTCTGGTGCGACAAAGCTCGACACTCGCAGGGGGCCGCTAGCTGACCTGACGCAGACGCAGACGCAGCTACCTGAGGGGACGTAGTGGTCAGTGTGTACAGACTCGAGCCAGGCGCACGGGTAAACGTGGCCAGGTGTCGGCCCGTCCGAGCACACGTACAGTGAGTCACTCGCTGACTCGCAGGAGTGAACTGGTCAACCCCCCGATCCTGGAGGTCAGCTCCACTCACCAAGTTCGTAGAGAACGAGGGGAGGTAAAGACCTGACAGCGAGCCAGACGGGGCGGCCGGACACGGCAGAACCGTGGAGTAGTGGGCAAGGACTGGACCCCCAGAGGGGTCCGCCAGGGAGACCGGAACTGGCTGACTAAGCGGCGTGAGTGTGGTGCAGTCGCGAAAGAAGGAGCGGGAAGCTCCTGAGTCAAGGGTGAAGGTGTGCAAGACCGCAGCAGGCGCAGTACCAGAGAGAGCAGACTCACCAGCACCTAGAGCAGCAGTCTCACCAGCACCTAGAGCAGGAGACGCACGAGCACCTAGAGCAGCAGCCTCACCAGTACCGAGAGCAGCAGGCGCTATACCAGGGTCAGGCGGGACGCACAGGTAACAGGCACGGTCAACACTAGTAGGCAATGCATACATGGCACTGAGAATCGCAACATAGTCAAGAGCAAAGATATCTACCCTCTGTCCAAGCAGCTCCGGCCAGGTAGGGAGCTCAGCCTCGTCGCCAAACACGGTACGCCAGGCGTCGCTCAGACGGGCGAAGCAGCACTGTGTGACCAAGCGTCCCACAAGGCTGACCAGTCCTATCACCTGTGCGAATGACGTACGGACAGCGAACTGTACGCGTAGACCTGCTACTCTGAGCGTACCACTCATGGAGCTGCTGGGACGTAAGTGTCTCGCGTGGACGCCGCTGCAGCTGCAGCTGGCCACTGCCAGACGCCCCCAACTGACCAGCTCCAGGGCGACAGCTACGACGGCTACCGCGACAGCCCCAACTAGTATACCACTCACTAAGCTGCTGGGGCGTGAGAGACTCGTGTGAACGTCGCTGGAGCTGCATCTAGCCACCTCCTAGTAGCAGTAGTAGCCGCAGCAGCTCGGTGCGGGCTCGGTGCGGGCAGCGCGCGGCAGCAGCGGGCTGTGCGCGGCTCGGCGCGGGCTGCGCGGGCTCGGTGCGGGCAGCGCGCGGCAGCAGGGGGCCTGACGGGCTTGTAGGGCCAGTTCGCGGGCCTGAAGGGCCTGTAGGGGCAGCGCGCTGGCCTAGGGCAGCAGGAGGCAGCGCTAGGGCTGCTGGACGGCGCGCGTAGTGCAGCACGTCACAAGGCAAGGCAAGGCAGGCAGGTACGTGGGGTAGCGCGGTAACCGCAGCGGTAGGTGGGCCCGAAAAAAAAAAAAAAAAAAAAAAAAAAAAACGGTCCTACGGACCTTAGTGCTCTGAAACCATGTTAGAATCTAGTGTCAAATTATATGTTTAATGTTATGTAGGCTGTAGTGGGTTTAGCCTTAGGGGGTACAGAAACTTGCTCGACACTTGTTTGTATCCCCCTCCAAAACCCTAAACCCACATACCTTCATACTATCTTCACATGGTATTAAGAGCTAGGACGTTCCTAGCCTAGGACGATTTTTATTTAGGGCCCACCGTTAAACCTTCCGCGTTCCTGCCCGAATCGCGTTCTCTTTTTTTTTTCTGCCCGAAATGCGCCCTTAGGTGCTTCGATTTTTGCTGCCCCGCGGCCCTGACCTGTCCAGTCGCGCGTAGCCCGTGAGCGGCCCCGTCTGGCCCCGTCTGGCCGTCGCGCCGCCCGTACAGCCCGCGTCTGGCCGTCGCGCCGCCCGTACAGCCCGCGTCTGGCCATCGCGCCGCCCGTACAGCCCCGTCTGGCCGTCGCGCCGCCCGTACAGCCCGCGCCACGCCCGCGCGCGGCCCGTATAGGCTACGTTAGGCCCGCGCGCGACCTGTACGTCCGCGCCAGGCGTTCGCGCAGCCCGTACAGGCCACGTCAGGCCCGCGCGCGGCCGGAACAGCCCACGCCAGGCCTGCACGCTGCACTGCGCCTGTGCTGCTGCTCTACCGCTGCTTCTACTTGCTGCCACTGCTGCTACTTGCTGCAGCTGCTTCTACTTGCTGCCACTGCTGCTACTTGCTGCAGCTGCTTCTACTTGCTGCCACTGCTGCTACTTGCTGCAGCTGCTTCTACTTGCTGCCACTGCTGCTACTTGCTGCAGCTGCTGCTACTTGCTTGCTGTAGGAGCAGCCGCCCCTGCAGCAGCCGCCCCTGCCCCTGGAGCAGCCGCCCCTGCAGCAGCCGCCCCTGGCCCCTGGAGCAGCCGCCCCTGCAGCTGCCGCCCCTGGCCCCTGGAGCAGCTGCCCCTGCAGCAGCCGCCCCTGCCCCTGGAGCAGCCGCCCCTGCAGCAGCCGCCCCTGGCCCCTGGAGCAGCCGCCCCTGCAGCAGCCGCCCCTGGCCCCTGCAGCAGCCGCCCCTGGCCCCTGGAGCAGCTGCCCCTGCAGCAGCCGCCCCTGGCCCCTGGAGCAGCCGCCCCTGGCCCCTGGAGCAGCCGCCCCTGGCCCCTGGAGCAGCCGCCCCTGCAGCAGCCGCCCCTGGCCCCTGGAGCAGCCGCCCCTGCAGCAGCCGCCCCTGGCCCCTGGAGCAGCCGCCCCTGCAGCAGCCGCCCCTGGCCCCTGGAGCAGCCGCCCCTGCAGCAGCCGCTTCTGGCCCCTGGAGCAGCCGCCCCTGGCCCCTGGAGCAGCCGCCCCTGGAGCAGCTGCCCCCCCCCCTCCCCCCCCCCTGCAGCTGCCGCGGAGCCCTCGCCCTGCAGTGGTGCAGGCCTTGCCGTTGCAGCCGTCGTACGCCTACCTTTCTTGCCACTGGTGAGCACTGTCCTGCCCGTACTGCTGTTACTGCTGCTCCTGCTGCTACTGCTCTTTCTACTACTACTGCTGCTCCTGGCGTGGCCAGATGCAGCTCCAGCGCCGTCCACGTGAGTCCCTCCCGCCCCCACAGCTTCATGAGTGGTACGCTCGTTGGGGTTGTCGGGGTGGCCGTCGTGGGAGTCGTTCTGGCGTGAGTAGTTTCGGGGCTTCTTGTAGTGGCCAGGTGCAGCTGCAGCGTCGTGTGCGCGCGGTCCCTTCGCCCCCGCAGCTTCATGAGTGGTACTTTCAGCGGGGGGGGTCACGGGGTTCTGCTCGCTGCCCGTACGTCATTCGCACTGGTGCTCGGACTGGCCAGCCTTGCGGGACGTTTGGTCACACAGAGTCCCGCTGCTTCGCCAGTCTGAGCGACGCCTGGCGTACGGAGTTTGGCGACGCGGCTGAGCTCCCCGACTGGGTGGAGCTGCTCCGGCAGAGGGTAGATATCTATGCTCTTGACTTTGATGCTATCCTCACTGCCATGTATGCATTGTCTACTAGTGATGTCGGTGACTGTTCCCTGAGTGCTCCGCCCGACCCGGGCGGTGCAGCTGCTGCTCTAGGTGCTAGTGAGTCTGCTACTCCAGGTGCTAGTGAGTCTGCTGCTCCAGGTGCTGGTGAGTCTGCTGCTCCAGGTGCTGGTGAGTCTGCTCTCTCAGGTACCACGTCTGCTCTGGCATCGCACACTTTCACCCTTGACTCGGGTGCTTCCCGCTCCTTCTTTCGAGACCGCACCACTCTCACGCCGCTCAGTCGGCCGGTTGCGGTCTCCCTGGCAGACCCCTCTGGGGGTCCTGTTCTTGCCCACTACTCCACTGTACTACCGTGTCCAGCGGTCCCGTCTGGCTCCCTGTCGGGTCTTTACCTCCCCTCGTTCTCTACGAACTTGGTGGCGGGTGCTGACCTACAGGATGGGGGGGTTGACCAGTTCACCCCTGCGCGTCAGCGGGTGACCCACTGCACGTGTGCAGACACGGGCCGACACTTGGCCACGTTTACCCGTCGGCCGGGGTCGAGCCTGTACACCCTCACTACCGAGTCTCCTCCGGTTGCTGTGCCTGGTCAGGTAGCTGCGTCGGGTCAGGTGTTTGCTGCGGCGTCTCGGTCTGGTCCTGAGTCTGCCCCCTGCTCGTGTCGCCTCCTGTCCCACGAGACTCTTCTCTGGCACCACCGTCTTGGTCACCCCTCCCTGCCTCGTCTCCGAGGCATGGCCTCTCGTGTCCTGGTCTCTGGTCTCCCCCGGTCGCTCCCTCCCCTCCCCCCGGGGCCTGCCCCTACCTGTGTCCCCTGCGTCGAGGGGCGGCAGCGCGCCGCTCCTCACTCCTCCGAGTTTCCGCCGACAGAGGCTCCGCTGCAGACTCTTCACATGGACGTGTGGGGCCCAGCCCGCATCCGTGGACAGGGTCACGAGCGCTACTTCCTGCTGGTAGTTGACGACTACTCGCGTTACACCACAGTCTTCCCCTTGCGCCGCAAGGATGAGGTCACTGAGGTGTTGATCGACTGGATCCGCGCAGCTCGTCTCCAGCTCAGGAAGAGTTTCGGCTCGGACTTTCCTGTTCTGCGTCTGCACTCTGACAGAGGTGGAGAGTTTTCCTCCGGCCCTCTGCGAGCCTTCTGTCGTGCGAGGGGCATCCGCCAGACGTTCACGCTTCCGGCCTCTCCACAGCAAAATGGGATTGCTGAGCGCCGCATTGGCATGGTCATGGATGTCGCTCGCACGTCCATGATCCATGCGGCTGCTCCCCATTTTCTGTGGCCGTTTGCGGTTCAGTACGCGGCGCGTCAGATCAACCTTCAGCCCTGGGTCTCCTTGCCGGAGACCTCCCCCACTCTGCGGTGGACGGGGAAGGTTGGCGATGCGTTTGCGTTCCGTGTCTGGGGGTCTCGGGCTTTTGTCCGATACTTGTCTACGGACAAGCTGTCTTCCCGTGCCATTCCCTGTGTCTTCCTTGGCTTCCCCCCTGACGCGCCTGGTTGGCAGTTCTACCACCCCACCTCGCGCCGTGTTCTGTCCTCCCAGGACGTCACGTTTGACGAGTCGGTTCCGTACTACCGTCTCTTCCCCTACCGCGCTGCCCCCCTTCCCCCCCCGCCGCTCTTCCTTACGCCAGGTCCCCCCCCGGTAGACCCCCTCCCCCCTCAGGGTCCTGCTCCTTCAGGTGTGTCTCAGGTAGACCCCCCCCCCTTGGCTGAGCCTTTGAAGGTGACTTCCGACACCTCTGGCCCACCTGAGGGGGGTGACGCTGCTGCTGACGCCCCGGCGGCCTACCGCCGCGCACCACGCTTGGAGACCCCTCCGGGGTTCCCTCCGCGACCTTCTTCGCCGCCTCTGCAGCCGGTTCCTGTTGACTCTGGTGCTGTTGGGAGTGGTGCTCCTGGAGGTGCTGCGTCTGGGGGTGCGGAGTCTGGGGGTGCTGAGCCTGCGCGTGAGGAGACTGGAGGTCCTGCGCCTGGGGGTGCTGTGTCTGGGGGTACTGAGCCTGTGTGTGCGGAGTCTGGGGGTGCTGAGTCTGGAGGTGAGACGCTTGAGGGTACTGGGACTGCTGGTGCGCGGCCTACTTGGAGTAGCTGCCTTCGTCCACGTGTGCCTCTCACCACTCAGCAGCTGCACGACTGGTACGGTCGCCGTCAGCGTCGCGCTGCTGGAGCCCGGGGCTCTGCTGCTGGAGGCACTGGAGCTGCTGGGACAGGGGGTGCTGCGCCTGGAGGTGCCGTTGCTGGAGACACTGAGGCTGGAGACCCTGGGACTGGGGGTGCTGGTTCTGGGGGTGCTGCTACGGGAGACCCTGCGGTTGGAGACCCTGGGACTGCAGGTGCCGGTTCTGGGGGTGCTGCTGCTGGTGACGCTGGCCCTGGTGGTGCTGGCACTAGAGGTACCGGTTCTGCGGCTGAAGCTGCTCGCGCTGCTGGAGGCACTGGAGCTGCTGGAGTTGCTGGAGACCCTGGAGCTGTTGGAGGTGTTGGAGCTGCTGGAGGCACTGGAGCTGCTGGAGGTGCTGGAGGTGCTGGTGCAGCTGCGCCGACACGACTGTTCTTCGCTCCGCCGTCTCCGTCGTCTCTGCCGCCGCCTGACTCTGCTCTTCGTCAGGTTGTTACTCTCCCGTCATCTACTGGTCTTCCGTTACAGCCTGGCTCACCGCTGCCTGCTCCTTCCCCTTACACTGAGCAGACAGGTAGTCTTGCTGAGCGTCATGAGCCTGCGTCGCGTCCAGTCTCGCCTGTTCGTTCTGGTCGTACTGGTCGTCGTGTTTCTCGTTTGCGTCAGCCGACTGTCCCCAGTGCACACCTTGTTGTCCGTCGTCCTTCCTCTGTTCCGCAGTCTGTTCCTCTGCCGTCTCCCCCTGCGTCCTCTCTGCCTGCCGTTCCGGACCCTGCGTCTGACCGGTTTCGTGCTGAGCACCCTACTGTTACGCGTCTGTTAGCCACTGTTGTCACTGACCCGTCGTTTGAGTCTACTGCTGCGTCTGCCTTGGTCGCTGAGCTTGTTGACTTTGCTGCTGCCTGTCGTCTAGACTACGCCGCTAGTCTTGTTGCTGAGTCTGAGTCTGTCTGTCCTCCGTCCGTTGGGGGTGAGTGTGCTCTTAGCACGGACGTCCTTGAGGACAGGCAGGAGGAGTTCCAGTGTCTTGCTGCTGCTTTACCTCATCTTGTGTCCTCACTGCTTGCCCCTGAGGGAGACCCGGATGCATTAGACATCCCGACTCCACGCTCTTACGCGGAGGCGATAGAGGGTCCCTACTCCTCTCAGTGGCAGGCAGCCATGGACGTAGAGATGGCTTCCTGGAAAGTCCACAGGCACCTACGTTGACGAGGTTCCCCCACCTGGGGCGAACATTGTCAGTGGCATGTGGATTTTCAAGGTGAAGCGGCCGCCGGGTTCTCCGCCTGTCTTCAAGGCGCGTTACGTGGCTCGAGGCTTCAGTCAGCGGCAGGGAGTTGACTACTTTCAGACCTTCTCTCCCACCCCGAAGATGACCACTCTTCGGGTGCTGCTACACATAGCCGCTCACCGTGACTACGAGCTTCACTCTCTAGACTTCAGCACAGCTTTCCTACAGGGCAGCCTGCACGAGGAGATCTGGCTGCGCCGCCCACCTGGCTTCACTGGGTCGTTTCCTCCTGGTACCCAGTGGAGCCTCCGGCGGCCGGTCTACGGTCTCCGCCAGGCGCCGCGTGAGTGGCACGACACACTGAGGACTACGCTTGCGGCTCTTGGGTTTGCTCCTTCTACTGCAGACCCGTCGCTGTTTCTACGCACCGACACCTCTTTGCCGCCGTTCTACATCCTCGTGTACGTCGACGACTTGGTCTTTGCTACAGCTGACACTGCTGGACTCGCCTATGTGAAGTCCGAGCTACAAAAGCGACACACGTGCACAGACCTGGGTGAACTGCGCAGCTATCTTGGCCTGCAGATCACTCGGGACAGAGCACGGCGCACCATTACCCTGACTCAGTCACACATGGTGCAGCAGATCCTTCAGCGCTTCGACTTCACGTACTCCTCGCCTCAGGCCACTCCTCTGTCTACTCGCCACTCGCTCTCAGCTCTGCCTTCGGATGAGTCCGTAGAGCCGAGTGGCCCGTACCCAGAGCTTGTTGGCTGCCTCATGTACCTGATGACCTGCACACGACCTGACCTGGCCTACCCTCTTAGCATACTCGCACGCTATGTTGCTCCTGGGAGACACCGACCAGAGCACATGGCTGCAGCAAAGAGGGTGTTGCGCTACTTGTGCAGTACGTCGGGCATGGGGCTCGTGCTTGGAGGGCGGAGTCGAGTGGTCCTCACGGGTCACGCAGACGCGTCTTGGGTCGACGACCTGGCTACGCAGCGGTCGTCGCAGGGTTACACCTTCAGCCTTGGTTCCGGCTCTGTTTCGTGGCGGTCTACTCGCTCGTCTTCTGTTCTCAGCTCCAGCTGTGAGGTTGAGATCTACGCAGGAGCCATGGCTGCACAGGAGTTACGCTGGCTGACCTACCTGCTGACTAACCTTGGAAAGCCGCCTCCTCGAGTTCTGTACGTAGACAACAAGGCCATGCTCGCCTTGTGTCAAGAGCACAGACTGGAGCACAGAACGAAGCACATCGCTCTTCGCTACTTCCTTGCTCGTGAGCTGCAGCAGCGTGGTCAGCTGCGCCTTGCTTACGTGGCCACTCGGGCCAACACTGCTGATATCTTCACCAAGGCTCTTCCGCCTTGCGATCATCAGCGCTTTTGTACTATGCTAGGTCTTGTGCCTACTTGGCCTCACTTGCTCACTTCTTGACCTTGCTTGTACTGTGATCTATATATACCTGCACCTGCATACTTACTCTTGTTAGGTTGAGATCACTGCATTGCTTGTTCATCTTGATATATAACTCTGCTTGTGAACTGGCCTTGTGGCCTTGTGCTTGTGCTCAGAATTGTCAAAACATATGCATATTATATCTAGGCTATATTGGGGATAGCCTTAGGGGGTACACACATTTCTCTCGACACTCTACTCTTGTACCCCACCTTGACCTAATCTCATCATCCTTGCCTTAGATTCTAACATGGTATAGAGCAGGAGGTCCTTAGGACCTTAGTACCTGTTCTGTTTGGGCCCACCTTACAAATCACCTGCGGTTACCGCGTTACCCCGCGCCCGCCCTACCCTACTACGCGTCGCGCTGCCCCTGCTGGCCGCGCGCCACTGCTGCAGCTCGCATTTTCCTTTTTTTTCGCGCGCTGCCCTGCCTGCTCTGCCCCGCGTGCGCTACGCTCGTCGTGTCGCCCCGCGGCCCTCGCGCGGCTCTCGCGCGGCCCTTTCGTGGCCCTTCGCGGCCCTCGCGCGGCCCTTTTGTGGCCCTCGCGCGGCCCTTTCGCGGCCGTCCGCGGCTCTCCGCTGCCCCTTCGCGGCCCCCTACGTGGCCCCTCCGCGGCTCTGCCGCCCTGCCGCTTCGTCGCCCCACCGTAGCCGCCTCCGCAGCAGCGGCCGTCGCACTTCCTGCCGCTGCAGCTTCCGCCACGGCTGGTTGCCGCTGCAGCTGCTGCCGTGACGACCGCCGCCACTGCCGCTGAGACAGCCGCTGCCGCCCCTGCCCCTGGCTCCTGGGGCAGCCGCCCCTGCAGCAGCCGCCCCTGGTCCCTGGAGCAGCCGCCCCTACACCTGCTGCCCCTTGCTACTGGAGCAGCCGCCCCTGCAGCAGCCGCCCCTGGTCCCTGGAGCAGCCGCCCCTACACCTGCTGCCCCTTGCCACTGGAGCAGCTGCCCCTGCAGCAGCCGCCCCTGGTCCCTGGAGCAGCCGCCCCTACACCTGCTGCCCCTTGCCACTGGAGCAGCTGCCCCTGCAGCAGCCGCCCCTGGTCCCTCGAGCAGCCGCCCCTACACCTGCTGCCCCTTGCCACTGGAGCAGCTGCCCCTGCAGCAGCCGCCCCTGCAGCAGCCGCCCCTGCCTCTGGCCCTTCGGGCAGCCGCCCCTGCAGCAGCCGCCCCTGGCCCCTGGAGCAGCCGCCCCTGGCCCCTGCAGCAGCCGCCCCTGGAGCAGCCGCCCCTGCAGCAGCCGCCCCTGGCCCCTGCAGCAGCCGCCCCTGGCCCCTGCAGCAGCCGCCCCTGGCCCCTGCAGCAGCCGCCCCTGGAGCAGCCGCCCCTGGCCCCTGGAGCAGCCGCCCCTGGAGCAGCCGCCACCTGCAGCGGCCGCGGAGCCCTAGCCCTACAGTGGTGCCGGCCTCACCATTGCCGCCGTTGTACGCCGGCCCTTCTTGCCACTGGTGAGCACTGTCCTGCCCGTACTGCTGTTACTACTGCTCCTGCTGCTACTGCTCTTTCTCCTGCTACTGCTGCTCGTGCTGCTCCTACGGCTACTGTGCTTTCTCCTGCTCCTGCTGCTACTGCTGCTACTGCTGCTCCTGCTGCTACTGCCGCTACTCCTGCTCGTGCTGCTCCTACGGCTCCTACCCTTCCTACTGCCACTGCTGCTCCTGGCGTGGCCAGATGCAGCTCCAGCGCCGTCCACGTGAGCCTCTCCCGCCCCCACAGCTTCATGAGTGGTATGCTAGTTGGGGTTGTCGGGGTGGCCGTCGTGGGAGTCGTTCTGGCGTGAGTAGTTTCGGGGCTTCTTGTAGTGGCCAGGTGCAGCTGCAGCGTCGTGTACGCACGGTCCCCTCGCTCCCGCAGCTTCATGAGTGGTACTTTCAGCGGGGGGGGTCACGGGGTTCTGCTCGCTGCCCGTACGTCATTCGCACTGGTGCTCGGACTGGCCAGCCTTGCGGGACGTTTGGTCACACAGAGTCCCGCTGCTTCGCCAGTCTGAGCGACGCCTGGCGTACGGAGTTTGGCGACGCGGCTGAGCTCCCCGACTGGGTGGAGCTGCTCCGGCAGAGGGTAGATATCTATGCTCTTGACTTTGATGCTATCCTCACTGCCATGTATGCATTGTCTACTAGTGATGTCGGTGACTGTTCCCTGAGTGCTCCGCCCGACCCGGGCGGTGCAGCTGCTGCTCTAGGTGCTAGTGAGTCTGCTACTCCAGGTGCTAGTGAGTCTGCTGCTCCAGGTGCTGGTGAGTCTGCTGCTCCAGGTGCTGGTGAGTCTGCTCTCTCAGGTACCACGTCTGCTCTGGCATCGCACACTTTCACCCTTGACTCGGGTGCTTCCCGCTCCTTCTTTCGAGACCGCACCACTCTCACGCCGCTCAGTCGGCCGGTTGCGGTCTCCCTGGCAGACCCCTCTGGGGGTCCTGTTCTTGCCCACTACTCCACTGTACTACCGTGTCCAGCGGTCCCGTCTGGCTCCCTGTCGGGTCTTTACCTCCCCTCGTTCTCTACGAACTTGGTGGCGGGTGCTGACCTACAGGACGGGGGGGTTGACCAGTTCACCCCTGCGCGTCAGCGGGTGACCCACTGCACGTGTGCAGACACGGGCCGACACTTGGCCACGTTTACCCGTCGGCCGGGGTCGAGCCTGTACACCCTCACTACTGAGTCTCCTCCGGTTGCTGTGCCTGGTCAGGTAGCTGCGTCGGGTCAGGTGTTTGCTGCGGCGTCTCGGTCTGGTCCTGAGTCTGCCCCCTGCTCGTGTCGCCTCCTGTCCCACGAGACTCTTCTCTGGCACCACCGTCTTGGTCACCCCTCCCTGCCTCGTCTCCGAGGCATGGCCTCTCGTGTCCTGGTCTCTGGTCTCCCCCGGTCGCTCCCTCCCCTCCCCCCGGGGCCTGCCCCTACCTGCGTTCCCTGCGTCGAGGGGCGGCAGCGCGCCGCTCCTCACTCCTCCGAGTTTCCGCCGACAGAGGCTCCGCTGCAGACTCTTCACATGGACGTGTGGGGCCCAGCCCGCGTCCGTGGACAGGGTCACGAGCGCTACTTCCTGCTGGTAGTTGACGACTACTCGCGTTACACCACGGTCTTCCCCTTGCGCCGCAAGGATGAGGTCACTGAGGTGTTGATCGACTGGATCCGCGCTGCTCGTCTCCAGCTCAGGAAGAGTTTCGGCTCGGACTTTCCTGTTTTGCGTCTGCACTCAGACAAGGGTGGTGAGTTTTCCTCCGGCCCTCTGCGAGCCTTCTGTCGTGCGAGGGGCATCCGCCAGACGTTCACGCTTCCGGCCTCTCCGCAGCAAAATGGGATTGCTGAGCGCCGCATTGGCATGGTCATGGATGTCGCTCGTACGTCCATGATCCATGCGGCTGCTCCCCATTTTCTGTGGCCGTTTGCGGTTCAGTACGCGGCGCGTCAGATCAACCTTCAGCCCCGGGTCTCCATGCCGGGGACCTCCCCCACTCTGTTGTGGACGGGGAAGGTTGGCGATGCGTCTGCGTTCCGTGTCTGGGGATCTCGGGCTTTTGTCCGAGACTTGTCTGCGGACAAGATGTCCTCCCGTGCTATTCCCTGCGTCTTCCTTGGCTTCCCCCTTGACGCGCCTGGTTGGCAGTTTTACCACCCCACCTCGCGCCGTGTTCTGTCCTCCCAGGACGTCACGTTTGACGAGTCGGTTCCGTACTACCGTCTCTTCCCCTACCGCGCTGCCCCCCTTCCCCCCCCGCCGCTCTTCCTTACGCCAGGTCCCCCCCCGGTAGACCCCCTCCCCCCTCAGGGTACGGCTCCTTCAGGTGTGTCTCAGGTAGACCCCCCCCCCTTGGCTGAGCCTTTGGAGGTCACTTATGACACCTCTGGCCTACCTGAGGGGGGTGCCGTTGCTGCTGACGCCCCGACGGCCTTCGGCCGTGCACCACGCTTGGAGACCCCTCCAGGGTTCCCGCCGCGACCGTCTTCGCCGCCTCTGCAGCCGGTTACTGTTGACTCTGGTGCTGTTGGGGGTGGTGCTCCTGTCGGTGCAGAGTCTGGGGGTGCTGAGCCTGGGGGTGCGGAGTCTGGGGGTACGGCGCCTGTGTGTGCGGAGTCTGGGGGTGCTGAGTCTGGCGGTGAGACGCTTGAGGGCACTGGGACTGCTGGTGCGCGGCCTACTTGGAGTGGCCGCCTTCGTCCGCGTGTGCCTCTCACCCCTCAGCAGCTACACGACTGGTACGGTCGGCGTCAGCGTCGGGCTGCTAGAGCCCGGGGCTCTACTGCTGGGGGTGCTGGAGCTGCTGGTTCTGGGGGTACTGCTGCTGGAGATGTTGCGGTTGGGGACCCTGGGACTGGAGGTGCTGGTTCTTGTGGTGCTGCTGCGGGAGACCCTGCGGTTGGAGACCCTGGGACTGGAGGTGCTGGTTCTGGGGTTGCTGCGGCGGGAGGCACTGCGGTTGGGGACCCTGGGACTGGAGGTGCTGGTTCTGGGGGTGCTGCTGCGGGAGACCCTGCGGTTGGAGACCCTGGGGCTGGAGGTGCCGGTTCTGGGGGTGCTGCTGCTGGTGCCGCTGGTTCTGGTGGTGCTACCGCTGGAGGTACCGGTTCTGCGACTGGAGCTGCTGGAGCTGCTGGAGGCACTGGAGCTACTGGAGTTACTGGAGGTGTTGGAGCTGCTGGAGGCACTGGAGCTGCTGGAGGTGCTGGAGCTGCTGGAGCTGCTGGTGCTGGTGCAGCTGCGCCGACACGACTGTTCTTCGCTCCGCCGTCTCCGTCGTCTCTGCCACCGCCTGACTCTGCTCTTCGTCAGGTTGTTACTCTCCCGTCGTCTACTGGTCTTCCGTTACAGCCTGGCTCACCGCTGCCTGCTCCCTCTCCTTACACTGAGCAGACAGGTAGTCTTGCTGAGCGTCGTGCGCCTGCGTCGCGTCCAGTCTCGCCTGTTCGTTCTGGTCGTACTGGTCGTCGTGTTTCTCGTTCACGTCAGCCGACTGTCCCCAGTGCACACCTTGTTGTCCGTCGTCCTCCCTCTGCTCCGCAGTCTGTTCCCCTGCCGTCTCCCCCTGCGTCCTCTCTGCCTGCCGTTCCGGACCCTGCGTCTGACCGGTTTCGTGCTGACCACCCTACAGTCACGCGTCTACTAGCCACTGTTGTCACTGACCCGTCGTTTGAGTCTGCTGCTGCGTCTGCCTTGGTCGCTGAGCTTGTTGACTTTGCTGCTGCCTGTCGTCTAGACTACGCCGCTAGTCTTGTTGCTGAGTCTGAGTCTGTCTGTCCTCCGTCCGTCGGGGGTGAGTGTGCTCTTGGGTTCGCGCCTTCTACTGCTGACCCGTCGCTGTTTCTGCGCACCGACACTTCACTGCCGCCGTTCTACATCCTCGTGTACGTCGACGACTTGGTTTTTGCCACTGCTGACACTGAGGCTCTTGCCCTGGTGAAGTCCGAGCTGCAGAAGAGACACACGTGCACAGACCTGGGTGAGCTGCGCAGTTACCTTGGCTTGCAGATCACCCGGGACAGAGCACGCCGCACCATCACACTGACTCAGTCACACATGGTGCAGAAGGTCCTTCAGCGCTTCGGCTTCACCTGGTCCTCAGCACAGGCCACTCCTCTGGCGACAGGTCACTCACTCTCAGCTCCACCTTCGGACGAGTCCGTAGAGCCGAGTGGTCCTTACCCAGAGCTAGTTGGCTGCCTCATGTACCTGATGACCTGCACTCGTCCTGACCTCGCGTACCCTCTTGGTCTTCTGGCTCGCTACGTGGCTCCTGGTCGGCACCGACCTGAGCACATGGCTGCTGCTAAGAGGGTACTGCGCTACTTGTGCAGTACATCAGGCATGGGGCTAGTGCTTGGTGGGAGGAGCCCAGTTGTTCTCACTGGGCACTCAGACGCTTCTTGGGTTGACGACCAGGCTACTCAGCGGTCGTCACAGGGTTACACCTTCAGCCTTGGCTCTGGTTCAGTTTCTTGGCGTTCTACTCGCTCGTCTTCAGTTCTCAGCTCTAGTTGTGAGGCTGAGATCTACGCCACAGCCATGGCTGCACAGGAGTTGCGCTGGCTCACCTACCTGCTGACCGACCTGGGAGAGCGGCCTCGTTCTCCTCCAGTGCTGTACGTCGACAACAAGGCTGCCATTGCCTTGTGTGAGGAGCACAGACTGGAGCACAGAACGAAGCACATTGCTCTGCGTTACTTCCTGGCTGGAGAGTTGCAGTAGCGAGGCCAGCTTCGTCTCCGGCACGTGGACACTCGGGCCAACACTGCTGATATATTCACCAAGGCACTTCCGTCTGGTGATCATCAGCGCTTTTGTACTTTGTTGGGCCTTGTTCCGACGTTTCCACACTTGCTGTAGCCCTTGTTTGTACTGTGATCTTTATATATATACCTGCATGTTGGCTCTTGCTAGCTAGAGATCACTGTACTGTTCTTTTTGTTGCTTATATACCTCTGCATGTGGACTGGCCCTGTGGCCGTTTGCTTGTGCTCAGTGGGAGTGGTGACGTTGTGATCCACCCTGAGCTGTGTTTTTGTCTCTTGACTGGTCTTGTGACCGTTGCTTGCTCTGGCTATCCCCCATTTCGCCTATGGGGGTGTGTCAAAACATATGCATATTATATCTAGGCTATATTGGGGATAGCCTTAGGGGGTACACACATTTCTCTCGACACTCTACTCTTGTACCCCACCTTGACCTAATCTCATCATCCTTGCCTTAGATTCTAACAAGAATGCGTGGCGACGTTGTGATCCACCCTGAGCTTGTTTTGCTTTGTTTCCTCTCTTGACTGGTCTTGTGACCGTTTGTTGTGTTGGCTATCCCCCACTTCGCCTATGGGGGTGTGTCAAATTATATGTTTAATGTTATGTAGGCTGTAGTGGGTTTAGCCTTAGGGGGTACAGAAACTTGCTCGACACTTGTTTGTATCCCCCTCCAAAACCCTAATCCCACATACCTTCATACTATCTTCACATCTAGCAGCAGGAATGAATGAACTAGCAGCATGCAGGAGTACAAGTAGTAAACCCTAATTGGGTTGTACCCCATATGGGCTACCCCACTACAGCCTAGACAATATGCAGCACATATGTTTGACACCCGCTTCCCCCCCCCAGATGCTTCTAAGACCGTAGGGTCCTTTTCTCGAGGTATTACGGTAAGAGTATAGGCAAGCTGGATGATTGACAAGGGTGAGATAGGGCAGAAACCGGATTTCTCTTCTCTATTAGATGCCTCACTAAAGCCTAACGGTACCGTATCTAACAAAGATATGAACATAACTTGAGATTACTCGGGTGATTTCAAAACTCCGAAAATTTGTACATACTGGTACCAAGTGTTAGCGAATACGCGAATGGAGTATAGAACAAGCGTATCAAGCAAAGAATGAACAAATGATGTGAATGTTACACATACCTACTACAAGCATGGCGTGATCATATCTACATGTGGGAACGCTCTTTGAAGGGCATCAAGGGCCGATGAGAAAAATGTCCGCGCTGCAATCAACCTCTGTTTGGCGTCACTGACCGTACGATTCCCCACAGGAGAGTTCCGATATCTGGAAGTCGGTATGGTACAGGTAGTCATGGTGTTAGAAGAAGCTGCGCCACTGCTGGTGTGGTTGAAACTGCTGACATAACGAGTGGTGCTTGCATAGGAGCTGCTGTTCCAACTGCTACTGCCAACACCACTGCCACCGCCACCACCACGGCCGCGCACGCTGCACAGTGCTCTTTGTAACTGAGGCAGGTGGCTGGCTTGCTGCCTTGCCGTCTGACAGCGAGAATGGTGCAGATCGCTGTGGTTGTTGGAGTTCTCGTCTCCCTCCTCCTCCTCATCCTCGCCTTCAGAGTCCCATTCTTCGTTGCTTTGATACACGGAATTCCTGCTGCTCGAGTACCGCTCTCGGCCGCATTCCATGTCTCCCCACCCCTCCTCCTCCTCGTCATACTCCTCCGAATGGCCCTCACTTTCCCTGTCCCATTCTTCCTCGGAGCCCTCATTCTCAGACTCTATTTCCTCTTGCAACTCGCCTTCATCCTCATTCTCACTTCCATACTCACTCCAATCCTCATTGTCCTCCTCCTCATCCTCCCCCTCCTCCTCCTCTTCCTCCTCCTCCTCCTCTTCCTCCTCCTCCTCATCCTCTAAACAAACCACCTCCAAACTCTTCAAACTACCCGCACACTGCCGCATAAACGCGCCGATCCAAAGCAGTGTAGCCCCGCTCCTTCCCCGAAGCTTCACTGACAGATTCTCCAGCTGGCTCGGCCAAGCGTCCACATCAGCCGGGTTCATCACCCGACCCAGCGTCACCCGAGCCTCCGCCGAACCTCCTGCATCCGAACCTGAGGTAGGCGCGCTATCAGGAGTGGCGAGACAGCCACCGCGAATAAGGCATTCCCAAGGTAGCGGGCCCAGGAAAAGCGAGGAGAGATTAGGGCAATGGCTAGTTAGCCAATTCAAGTTCAGCAGATCGAGACCCCCGCTTCCCGCGGCGCGCGCCGCGTCCCGCGGGGAATCGGTCGCCGCGCCGTTGCGCAGTGCGCCGGCGCCGCCAGAGCAGCCGGAGCCGCCGCATTCGACGGTGAAGAGATCCAGCGCGAGGTGCGTGAGCGACGCGCCCGCACCCGCGACGAGCGACTCGAGCGACGGCCAGTGAACGGTTCCCGCGCGGACCTCGAGCGACGCGAGGGCGGTGGAAGCGGGCGCGGAGAGGCGCAGCGCGGAGGCGGTGGCGACGGAGAGAGACTCGAGCGCGCGCGCGTTGGGGAGGGAGAGCGCGGTGAGAAACATGTCTCGAATCGACACCTCGCGGAGGCCGCCGATTTCGCCGCCGCCAGCGCGGCGCACGCTCTTGTCCTCGGTATACGCAGCCTCGCTGCAGATAAGTGTGACGGCGGGGACGCGCAGGTACGCGAGCTCGATAGACTCCAATCGCGCAGGCAGGCGCAAGCATAGCCCCGCGGGGTGTCCCGCCGCCGCGGCAGCTGCGGCCCGCGCGCCGGCGGCGGCTTGAAGCGCTGCGTAGTAGCCCGCGGGATAAGAGGCGGCTTGCGCGGTGAGACCAGCCGCCATGAAGATGGAGAGGTGGCGGAGATTGGGACACGCGTCGAGCAGGGATTGGAGCGTGGATCCCGCCAGGTTGGTCCATTCGAGCGAAAGCGCGCGCAGATTGAGGAACGCGGAGTTCCCGCGGAGGAAATGGGGCGGGAGGGAGAAAGAACCGAGGCGCATCGAAGAGAGGTTGGGGCAATGCGACGCGAGATGCTGCAGATGGGAGGTCAGGTCCGGACCGCCCGCGTAAACCGTGCAGCTGGGGGCGGAGGAGCCGCCAGCGGAAGACGCGGCGGAAGATCCGGCGGCGGTGACGGCTTTGTGCTGCGTGATGGTGACGTGGCGGAGGGAACTGCCAGCGTGGCGGGCCCACGCCTCGACGATGAACTCGCGAGGATGCGCGCTGATGTTATCGCCGCCGACGCCGCCGTGACTCCCGCCGCAATTCACGGTCTCCACGTGGAGAGACGACAGGCCATGGGAGCGCATCACCATACACGATACCACCTCTTCGATTTTAGCAGGAGGGAGCGAGAGGCGGGCGAAGGTGAGGGACGGGACAAGCGGCACGAGGCGGTGCCACCGACGGCAGACCGCGCCGGCCGCTGCCACGTGTCGCGCAGAGCCAAGCGCGGCAAAGATATCGATTAAAACATCGTCGGGTAACTTGTCTAGCAAGCAGCTGGGGCTATTACTGGTACTAGCCGCATCTGTGCTTTCAACAATAGAGTCACCGTTGCTGCTCCTGGAGGATTCCGCGCCTATCTCCTCATTTCTGTCTTCGTCAGCAGCGGCAACGGCGGCGGCTTCGTCGGTGGTGGCGGAACTCGCGGCGGAAGTTGTCGCGGAGAGCAGCGACATCCGCGGCTGGAACTTAACGGTGCGGAAGCACGCCTCGAGGGAATGGCGGCGCGGTTGTAGCAAACGCGAAGCGGCGGCGGCGGCGGAGCCAGCGGAGTTTGCGGCGCCGATTGCGGCTAAGCGGGCGACTACCATTCCCGACTCGTACTCAGGGTCCGTCGCGGTCGCTGTAGCCCCACGTAGCCGCCGCGCTGCGGCCAGCTTCACAAAATCCTCCCGCGTGAGGCCCTTCGCGCGGAGAACTTCCGGATAGTGCCGCGCGTTGAGGGTTGCGGCGGGTCGCTCTGCTGCGTCGACCGCGCCTCGGCGCATAGCGACAGCATCAGACGAAGGTCCATGAAATGTGGTCATGGCGTAGTTACCTCCTCGGTGATGTCACGACGACAGAGTACCGCGGAGGCGGAATAGGAGGCGAAACAGGAGGCGGAAGAGGGTCAATATTTGTGCTCGACTCAACGTGTCGACCTGCAGCAGACGAACTTAGCTCCCACTCGAGGTACTCGTAGTGATAAAAACTCCTAGCAATGGTGTCGCCCGCAGCTGCTGCTACCAATACTGTTATTGTCAAGATTCGTCTGAAGACTCTAACGGGCTGTCCTCAGTACGTGAACGTTTTCGTAAGGGTATGAACGCTAGATCTTCCGCTTCAGACGATTCGATTGCTTGCAAGGACAATACACGAAGTCAAGCCTTGGGAACAAACGCGGAGATTAATAGACTTGCCATGGCAGTGGGGTACGGAAACTACGGTGATAATACTGTACTGTACAGTACAGTACATACATTGATCCCAACCAACCAACCCATCGCAACTTTGCCCAGATTGGTTGAATTTGGCCCGCAAGTTGAGACCGTGTCGTTCCCCTGTGTGAACGAAAGGATGTCGTGTCCTTGTGCTGAGTTGGACGCCGGCGCCAAGGCAGGCTCGATGAGGCCCTTTTTGCGGCTCTTGCTGCGGTCTCTCACATCACATCACGGCACGGTGGTGAACGATCCAAACCAAACATCTCGCGAGTACAGTACGTACGTTGCGTTTCGGTGCATTGCCCTTGTGGGTCCAATCAGGCGAATGCAGGCTTGCCTGAAAAGTCGGCTGTCCTTGCTGTGTGGTGTGGTGGGGCGGAGGGAGAGAGGAGGAGGGGGGAGGTCATTCGTTCGTTCATTTCTTGATGAAAAGTGATTGGTAGAATCGAAGGGCAATGCGCGTCATACTGCTGCAAAAGCTCATCCCACTGGGAGCTTTCGTTCTCCTCACGGGGCCCAAGGTGGAAGTGATGGCCCGGTACGCGCGCGCCTCGGAAGTAGTGGAGGACATAGGGGGAGGGAAACCTGACGTGTTTTGAGGTCCTTACTTTCAAACTGTAGAATCTCAATCTAATCTAGTGGGATCAAGAGCGGAACTTGTGGTTCGTTTCCTCCTTTGCCGTCCTTTACATGGGAATTTAGGTAACAGAAACAAAGTTTAGCGCGGAGAAACCCCAGCTAGTATCCTGACAGGGTGCCACATACACCCTCTTTTTTTAATACACTTGCTCATTCCGGTGAATTATTCAATTAAAAAAAAAGTGAAACTGTTCCTTGGACGTATTCGGAATTGTTACAATAACCGTCTCTAGGGGGTGAGTGATTCGCAATTTCGTTATCCTGGGTACCCTACCGAGCCATTTCAAACGTTCAGACAACCGTCTTCGAAAGTAACTAACCTCGTCAAACCGTACTGGTGCAAAAGTCCACTATAACGCGTCTTCTGGCGCGTTGAGCCACAGGGCCCATATAGCCAATGACAGTGTAGCGCGAAACAGGGTGTACAGATTTCTCTCGAAAGCATAAAGCGTCCGTCACGTCTCATATACACCACGGAAAATATTCAGACTCTAGCGTACACCTTGTTTGCTTTCACCGACGCTACGTGCATCCACCCCCCAAGCCAAACCAGTCTGCCTCTCCCGCCCGCCACCTCGTTGGACCAAACCAAAGAGCTCGATGGGAGATGTCCCCCTCCCTCCCAAACCAACCCAACAAAGACCAAACGCGCTGCACTGTACACAACAATAGTACACATGTGTACAGAACAGTGTTGAAAAGAAACTGTCAAAAGAAATACACCCTCATTCTCAGTCTACGCACAATCGGGAGCAGCGACAACAGTGTTGTCAGGTAGCGTCTCTGTGCTTGTGGCCGAACCCCCTAATGTTGCCAGGCACACCATGCACCAAGCGCCAAAACAGTAACATTCGAAACGACTTGTTCACTTTGTCCTACACTGTGGCCAAAGATTCCACATCAAAACACACAAGAAACAGACAATTCCTAACACAGGTTCAAAACACATACAGAATATCTACGTTCGGTAGAAAGGGGTAACGTATGGTAGAGCGAAAAGCAACGGCAGCCAACCACACATGTGAGCGCACTGTACACTTCCTGCCAGTCAAAGTCAACAGCTGCATTACCAACGTGGCAGTCGTGATTGTGCTTGTAGAGTATGTGCATGCACCATTCTAGGCACGTTGCAGTCACTACAAGCGTTCGGTGCATGTGGCGATTGTGCACAGACTGAGAATGAGGGTGTAGTGTAGCGGAGCCCGTCACAAATCTCCGGCTTCGGGCAGCGATGGGTCTCGTTGAAGATTTGAACTGATGCCTCTCAGAAAAGCGGGCAAGAAGAACGCACATGCAAACCAATCGACCTGCCTCCATTTGTGCCACTCTGAGGCACTGAGGTCACCACAACAAAGCCCCGCTGGGAACCTTTTGCTGTACGAAGTGGGGAAAATATGCCACAAGTAACATACAGTGGTTTCGATAATTTGTCTGGTAAAAAAAAACAGTGTACGGTCACTGAAAAGGGTGTTTTCACGCGAATGATAATAGGGTTCACGTAATCAGTCACCTGGCGAAATTTCACGCGAATGGTCACACGTGAAACTCCCGCCCGAAAAAGATAATACCCAAAAGGAACCTGGATGCATTTTCGGATTGTTCAACCCTAAACACGTAACTTGCCTGGTATTTAGGGTTGATCCGTTCCCAAATCGTATCAGCTTCCGATTGGGTTTAGTTTTTTCAAAGTTGACTGGTTGGTTTTGCGCGAGCGGGAAAATTTCCGAGTTTCATGTGTACTTGGCGGGAGTTTCATGTGTGACCATTCACGTGAAATTCCGCCAGCAAATAGTGACTGATTACGTGAACCATATTATCACTCCCGTGAAAACACCCTTTTTAGTGACCTACACTGCTTTTTTTACCAAACGAATTTTCTATGCCACTTTGTGTTACTTGTGGCATATTTTCCCTACAAAGTGCGCAATGAGCAGCAACAAACCAAGAAAGGGGGAGGATACACCTACACCCCCAGTGTATACACGTACATCGTCTGGCGATTTTGCAGCATATCTTTCAGAGATTGACCGTGAACAAAGACATCTGTACAGTACACGTACGCGTTTCGGGAATTTCCAGGAAATTACTAGGTCTTTTGGTGGAGTGGGGGAGTCACTTGCAGCAATCAAAAACTCGATCGATCTGAGGTGCGGTGTACGCGTGGCAAGTCTGTTGGCTCACGTCAGTTCTGCTATGACGAATGAGAGAGCGCGCTAGCCCCGAGGTGTGGGGCGACGAGGTCGTCACGTGAAATTCGCTGTCATAAATCGTATTAAATGCTCACCAAATCCTGCTACTGTACTGTACAGGGGTGAGAGGAACACAAGATCGTGAGATATCCAGTCCAGACCAGGCCTGTCGAAGTTCCTGGGGCTCGTACTTGCGCTCCCCAGCTCCTCCCAATCTAACCCTTGGTTGGGGGTAGGTGAGCGTTTTGGCGCACGGGCGCACCCCAAAGTCAGAACTTGAAATCAGGGCATGTTTGAAGTTTGTACTTACACTACATTTTACTATGATACGTGCAGTTATCTACTTATATTAGAAGTCAAGAACACCTAACACTACACATGACTTAAATAGTCATAAAACCTACCTAACCTGGAATGTTCTTCTTCTCTACTCTAACTACAGAAATGGCATGCAGAGCTCAGCTACTCTACTCTAACCAAACATGCAATGCAAGCCTAAGTTGCAGGCTTCCTCCCCTTCCTCCACTTCTCCTCAAACAAGGCATAGGCCGCTGCCCAGTCCACCGGGTAGTCTAGCATCTTCACCGTCATGAGCTCCCCCAGCCTCACATCAGAAAGAGCAACACGATAATGTTTTGGCGGGAGAAGCCCCTCTCACACTCAACAGTGCTGAGAGACAGCACAGAAACCGCACGCCAGAGAGATACAATGGTGGGATAGTCATCCCTCCAGTCTGCCGTGCGCAGCATGTTGGTGAGAGCCTGATGGAAGCTCTGCTTCTTGAACTTCTTCTCCATGGTGGCTACAAAGAGGCGCATCTGCGGCTCTATGTCAGCAAGAGTGACTCCTGCCATGGACATATACAACAAGTAGAACATGTCATGGTTGGAGAAGAACATGAACAAGGTTAGAACATAGACAAGGTTCCTACAACAGGCCTCGCGACTTACCAGGTAGCTTGTTCTTGAACATGTCAAGGAGCTCGGTGAGATGGAGCTTCACCCACGCGTCCTGCTCTCCTGCACGGGGGGGATACTTATCAGGGGTGAAGAAACCAACACCATCGAAATGGCGCAGGTCCGCCATCCTCTTCCCAAGCGCCTTAATGAGGCGCTGAGCGAAACTCCTCGCCAGGTCCGCGCAGGCCTCCAAGTCGCATCCCCCCCCTGGGTTCTTAGGGTCGATGATGTCCTCGTGCAGCTCGATCTCGACTGTTGCAGGCTTGCCGTTCTCGTCCACTCCCTTGAGCTGCATCTTGCGCTTGTCCTTGCTTTTGTGTGCAGCAAGGAACTTGTTCAGGCGGGAGGTGTTCGGCCCGTTGGATGCGCCGGGCTCGACGTAGTACTGCGCCAGCTTGGTCTTCACCTTGTCGACATGATTCTTCACCTGTGTGATGTCGACCTGAAGGCAAACAGAGCGCGAATCCATTAAAACCTTGCACATAAGTCATGAAGCGCTTGGGTCATGTTCATAACAACCTTACCGTCTGCTTATGGAAGGAAAGATTGAGTCCACTGAGCAGCTGCAGCACGTCAGCCAGGAGGTAAAGCATGTAGTTGAACTTGAAGCTGGTTGCGAGCTTCTCCGTCCCGTCCTTCTCCTTTGTCCACATCCACATCAGAACCGGCAGCACGTCGCAGAAACGATTCACAGCATCCCCGCGAGACAACCAACGGACGGTGCAGAAGCCTTGCACCTCCAGGTGCGTCTGCAGAATGACGTCCTGGAGCTGCATGTAGGTCTTGTGATCCGTAGATGAACGCGCGAGACGCTCAGCAGTCTGGCGTATCATCTGATCCACGACGTTGAACTCCTTGAAGCTCTTAGCGGCATCCTTTGCAGCCAATGCCTCGCTGCACAAGCACGAAATGTGGGTAAGTATGGTTGGCGACGAAAATAACATCACATAACAGTGCGGTGCAACCTTACCGATGCGCCACGCAGTGAATCGCCACCAGCCACGCGCAACGTTTCCGAAGCAGGGCGACAACTCCGTTCTGCTTGCCAGTCATGACGGATGCACCATCCATTGAAACCCCAACCAGCTTGTCCATCGACATGTCCTTCAACCACAGACACTTCACGATCGCGTCGTACAATGCTGCAGCGTCGCATCGCTCGAGCGACAGGAGAGCAAGAAACTGGCACACCACGGCCTCGCCTCTCTCGAACGTGCAATACATGATGAGATGCTTTCCACGGGCGCGATCCGTGGATTCGTCGAAGGAGAGGCTGTACCAGGCCGACTCTTTGACGTCCACGAGCTGCCTGGCCACCAGATGCTCTGACATAGCCTCTACGAACTCGCCGAAAGCGTATCTGCAATTAGTACCGACTGAAAATGTAAGTTAGTTACTCACAAAAGAACAGCAATAGAAGTACGTAACAAGCAGAAACCTCAGACCAGAATCAGAAGCAGGATAGAAGGAGCAAAAACATAGGCTAACAACCACGTACCGCGAGTAATAACGACCGTATGCTTCGCTGTTCCGCATGTCGGGGCATCCTTGCTCCGCCATGAACCGCACCAGCAAGGGGTAGAGAGCGATAGGTGCATCGTGCTGCGCGATCCAATGAGCTCCCAGCATGCATTTCACGACTCTCGCCATGACAGGATTGCTGCTGAGCATGTTCAAGAGGCTGCGCTGCCTCACCTCCGTGCCTGCAGCAAGTCGTTCTGCTTCCATGGCCGCGAGGTGCACCTTGGACTGGTCATGGTTGCGGCATGCAGACTTCTGAAAATCCCTCGCACCGACGCCAGGACCGCCAAATGGAGACTTGGTGTTAGGAGCGAACTTACAGCACGCGGAACACTTCATACCGTACTGGCGCTCCTCTTTGTCCCACTTCAGGCTCAGCCACGAGTACGTCTGCTTCCAGGCTGTGCTGAAGCGTCGTGCATGACGCCTCTCAACAGCAGGAATCTCGGTGTCCACGGGTACTTCTGCATCCTATGCGATAGCCTTGTCCTGCGCATCCAGCTCCTCCGGCGTGCTTCGTGCGCGCTTCCGCGATTGTGGTGGCGGACCTGCGAAGCTGAGGTGCACCTGACGAAAGCGGCCCGCAGACCTCGATGTAGTCTGCGACGATGCGGCTTGCTGGGCGTCGCGTGGGTCCAAGACAGAGACTGCTACATCTAGCATCTCTTCAGCATCCGGTGGTACGTATGGCTCGGTCTCGGTCGTACTATGCGAATAAGAGATGCTCGTCATGGCCAAAACTGGAGGAGGGGTTTCACCCTCGCTAGGCTCCATTGTGGGAGAACGTTGCTGACGAAGTACACTGGTCAGCTAGCCATAAGATAGACCTCGCGTGTGTGAGTTAGGCGACGCGGGGTTTACTCGACAGGGTGGGTGGGTGGAGGAGAAGTGCCATAGCACGGCACTTACGAAGGTGGAGAGCAGAGAGCTTGGGTGGATGGTACCGTGGTGGTGGTTGGACGGTGGGGAAGAGAAAACATGGCACGAACAAAGGAGGAGAAGAGAGGGAGCCTGGGTGGGTGGTGGTGGTGGATGGATTGCATGGTGGTGGGGAGGAATCGTGGCTCGCACGAACGAAGGTGGTGAGGGAGCTGCTACGGTGGAGTGCTTCAGTTCCTTTGACGTGCTTTGGTTTAGTGTGTAGGATGTCTCTTTGGCCAAGGAACTTAGCCAGATTCACTCAAGATAATCCCATGTGTCACAGCTGTACACTGCGGCCAGCTCGTATTGGACGCTAAGGGAATGTGCGGGTGCTCCTAGGCTGACTGAGACACGCTACACTCACAGGATTGGCTACAAAACGCTAAGGGAAAAATCCCCTTGGCGCGCTCTAGTTCAGGCAGAGGAGAAAGAGGGGGGGAGGGGGGGGGGGTGTCTAGGGCACCCTTTGGGGGGGGGGTCCTACGACCTGAAACCTACACTTAGATACAGGGGAAGGCCCGGTTTCGTCACTTAACGCATCCGGGGAAGGTTCGAATGAGGCACTTAGTGGCACGGGTGGGGTGCGATTTTAAAACTTGACGCATTGGAGCTGGAGCGAAACTAGCCCTTAATGTCAGGGCATTAAGGGCATATGCCCGTCAATCGTCAGGCCTGGTCCAGACCCAAACTCGCATGAACCAACAAACTTTAAAATTGAGGCTAACAGAATGACATTTTCCTTTCAGTAGGGGGTAGCACATTCTTTATTAAAATGCCGCTAGTCCGCAGCGCACCAACTATAAGGATGCAAAAATTGGCAGGAATGGAGTAGGATCGGTGCCTCACATTGATCCTACCACAAAATATAAGCACACCGATGTGCCCAATTGCATATCTTCAATCGCCAAGACACACCATATAATGGATTTTGCCTATTTCCTTACTGAGACACCCTATGCACGTAAAAAACCAACTTTCAGTTCTCAGGTTCGGCCTGCCGACCTCGCCTCCAAATTTCGACTGCGTCGCCTTCGGGTTTTCCAATCCCAAACCTGCACCAAACCTTGCACGGTTTCGCGACCTCGACCTAGCTGGTATCCGCTATGTCTGTGCTTGGTAGTTGTAATCACTTTCGCGATATTGCATTCTACGCACTCTTCTTCATACAACTCAAAACACACCAAGCCACAAGTAACATGACAGAAAATTTGTAGGCCAATATTGCATGACCTTCACAATTGCGAGATTGATATATGGCAGGATGCACATGGCGCGAGCTAGGGGTGACACAATATTGATGGCCAACGTACTGTGCATTGTTGAATGCTGGCGAAATTAAGGGTGTGGAACATTGCAACGACCAAACCCAAAGTTTGACCAAATGGTCGGCTGTGGCGAAAGCGATAAGTGCAACAATTAGACGAGCCCCGCCAAACATTTTGAGCACAACGACCATTCTGTTCGCAAGGACGCAGAACAACCACCCTAAACCACTCAGGCATCCACCTTGGGGTGTCATTGGAGAGCAAGGGCTGGGAGGTCTTCCACGTCACCGACAACAAGGTCGTCACTACTATGGAGGCGATCTCATACGAACGATGTTGCTAGAGGTGTGGAAGGCAAAGTATGGGTCGGCGCTGGGGCGGACGCAGACCAACCCCCTCACGGACGGCCACGGTCCTGCTGCTCGTCGAGGTTTGCTAACGATAATGTCACCGCACCACCCCTTGTCAATGACATGTCTGTTTCGCCGCCGTCGTCAGCCATGAGCGATGAAAGGAGCCTTAAAACTTTGCTTGTGGCGCCGGCCAACAGCATCGCCGGCGGCCGATGTGACACAGAGCTTGTCGACGAGGGTGCGGAGCCGTTGATGACAAGGATAGCCTCTGCCTGAATCTAGCCCTCATCATGCCAAATCAATGAAGGACTTCTAGAGAGAGAGAGAGAGAGGGAGAGAGAGAGAGAGAGAGAGAGAGAGAGAGAGAGAGAGAGAGAGAGAGAGAGAGAGAGAGAGAGAGAGAGAGAGAGAGAGAGAGAGAGAGAGAGAGAGAGATAGAGAGAGAGAGAGAGAGAGAGAGAGAGAGAGAGAGAGAGAGAGAAGAGAGAGAGGAGAGAGAGAGAGAGAGAGGGGGGAGGACTTGGCCTCTGTCCCTGGCCTCTGTCCCTTGCCTCTAGGCCATATAAGTATCCTGTGGGGGCCTCCATCCCTCATTAGTTCATTCTGTTTTTAGTTTTCCGTAGGCGCTCGCGAGAGAGAGAGAGGGAGAGGACTTGGCCTCTGTCCCTTGCCTCTGTCCCTTGCCTCTAGGCCATATAAGTATCCTGTAGGGGCCTCCATCCCTCATTAGTTCATTCTGTTTTGAGTTTTCCGTAGGCGCTCGCGAGAGAGAGAGAGAGGGAGAGGACTTGGCCTCTGTCCCTTGCCTCTAGGCCATATAAGTATCCTGTGGGGGCCTCCATCCCTCATTAGTTCATTCTGTTTTTAGTTTTCCGTAGGCGCTCGCGAGAGAGAGTGAGGGAGGGGACTTGGCCTCTGTCCCTTGCCTCTGTCCTTTGCCTCTAGGCCATATAAGTATCCTGTGGGGGCCTCCATCCCTCATTAGTTCATTCTGTTTTTAGTTTTCCGTAGGCGCTCGCGAGAGAGAGAGAGGGAGAGGACTTGGCCTCTGTCCCTTGCCTCTAGGCCATATAAGTATCCTGTGGGGGCATCCATCCCTCATTAGTTTATTCTGTTTTTAGTTTTCCGTCGACGCTCACGCCGCGTTGCGCGGCCTTCGGCCGCGTGCCTAGGGGTGGCAAGGATTAACAGTAACACAAAATAATTGGACACCACAAGACAGCCATGGGCCACGCTACCCGCGACTAGGTCAAGAAATGCAAAGGGTCTACATGCGGCGGGTGCCGGAAACTACATCTGATGGGCATCCAGCGCCGCGAGAATACCACGCATGGTCCTCCACAGTTGCTGGACCACTAACGCGGTCGCGCCTAAGGCTTCAATCCCGCCACCAGCCTGGAGGTGTGCGGTCAGACCCTGGACCGTTACGTCCAGTTCAGAAATCGCAACGCCTCCCATCGCGGGCGCTGCCAGCACGGGTAGGAGGAGGAAGGCAAGCTGCGCAGCTGCAGCCTGGCAATCAGCTCGCGCCCCACGACCGAGAGTGCTCCCTGGGCTCTGGAGAATGGCGAAATGTGCATTCATCAGAATCAGTGACAGGGTCCTCTGACACCCCCGTCAGGCGCCACAGCTGCACAAGGGTCGCCGTGGGAACTTCAGCCATCCCGGTCGCTAGTGCCGCAGGCGGTGTTGAGATAAGCGGTAGTCTTAGGAGCCATAGCTAGGAGAGTCCTAGCTAGGCAAGAGAGTTTAGGCGAAAGAGAGGGGTTGCACTAGCAAGAATGGGGATACAAATAGCAAACCCTAGAAGGGTTGTACTCGCTACAGAGCACCCCACTACAGGCTAGAGCATAATATTCTGACACACCCCCATAGCCAAAGTGGGGTGTAATCAGCAGAGCAAGCAAAGCAGTACAAGCTCAGGGTGGATCACAATGTCACCACACATTCTGAGCACAAGTTTAAGAAGCAATAGTTTAAAGTTCACAATTATGAGCAAAGCTAGTGGTAGTCACAACGGGGAAGTGAGGAGGAGGAGGGCTGGCGAGAGGAGAGTAGATGGGAGGCGACGACTGAAGCTGCAGTCACACGGGCAACAGACGGCTCTGGTGCGACACAGTGGCTACCGGGAGTGAGTGCCCCGGAGTACAGGAGTAACAGGCTCCGCGGCTAAGACGAGCAGCAGGAGCAACGGACCCACAGGCGACGGCGCAACCGGCTCTCTGAGCTACCGGGAGTGAGTGCCCCGGAGTACAGGCGCTGCGTACGACACGACGGCAACCTCCCCTCAACCTCCCCCAACAGTCCCACATCCCTCGACACACACCCGCTGCTACAACACCGCTAGCTCCACTCCCCCTTCACCCCCCCTTAGTACCACTCCGACGGCTCCAACAGGTCCACCCCCCTCAGCGGCAGCTGCAGCACAGGGAGACGGAGGAGGAGGAGCAGGGAACGGCACACAGAAGCTGCACCCCCATACCCCCCAACCCCAAACCCTAATCCAGGAGAACGGGCAGAAGGAGGGGTGGGGCGCCTTCAGAAGCACGGGGGACAGCGGGGAGGACAGGGGCAGCGAAGAACGGGGCGCCCACGGGCCTGGCACAGCCTCCCGAACCGCGCGCAGGCGGTCCGAGCCGCGCGCGGGACTGGCGCAGCCCGTACGGGCCGCGCGCGTGCCTGGCGCAGCCCGTACGGGCCGCGCGCGGGCCTGGCGCAGCCCGTACGGGCCGCGCGCGGGCCTGGCGCAGCCCGTACGGGCCGCGCGCGGGCCTGGCGCAGCCCGTACGGGCCGCGCGCCGGGTGTACGGGCCGCGCGCAGGCCACGACGGGCGACGGGGGGCGACGCGCGGGTCCCCGTCGCCCGTCGCAGCGCCTCCCGGGGGCGACGTGCCGAGTGACGGGGCAGGAACCCGTCGCGCGCCTCGGGGCACACGGCGGGCAGAGAACCGCCGCGCGCCTCGGGGCGCACGGCGGGCAGAAAACCGCCGCGCGCCTCGGGGCGCACGGCGGGCTGAAAACCCTAGTTTCGACGCCGCGCACCACGGGGCGCGCGGCGGACAGGGAGTAGCAGTAGCAGCGGAAGCAGTGAAGTGGGCCCACAGGCCAGGAACGTTAAGCTCTGATACCATGTTGAGATAAGCGGTAGTCTTAGGAGCCATAGCTAGGAGAGTCCTAGCTAGGCAAGAGAGTT